TATTCCTCGTGGAGAAGAATGCGCCGCCCGTCAGCACTCTCCTTCCAACCATGTTCCGGGAAATCCTTTCCAGTTCTTTCCATTTTTTGTACATTTTCATATCTGCTCTTATTTCACGACGTAATGTGGTCCTTGGCCATCCTTTTTTCCGCTTGCTTTCAGGGTTCCACGTGCAGTTTGATGATTTCCGTAATTTATGTCCTGTCCACTTCTAACATCTTTTCTTTATTTCCTCTGCATCTAGAACCTGGTTCGTTCTCTCATACAGTAGGATGTTGCTGATGGTATCCGAACAACGGACATCCAGTTTCTTACACAAACAATTGTTCATAAATACTTGTACATTTTTGATGATGGTTGTGGTAGTCCTTCAAGTTTCAGCTCCGTACAGTAGAACTGTCATGATCATCGTATTGAAGATTATCACTTTGATATTGGTTGGTAGTTGTTTTTAGTTCCATATGTTCTACAACTGTAGGAATGCTGTTCTTGCTTTGCTAAATCTCTCCTTTATGTCTGCATTGGATCCTCCTTGTTCATAGATGATGATACCCAGGTACGTGAAATTTTCCATCTCTTCCAGAGTTTCTCCATAAAGTGTGATTATGTTGATTTTCTCCGTGTTGTAATTGAAGATCTTGCTTTTTCACCTGTGTATGTTGAGACCCACTGATGCAGAGGCTGCTGATACAATGGTTGTCTTCACCTGCATTTGTTGATGTGTATGGGATAGAAGGGTCAGGTCATCCGCGAAGTCCAAATCGTCTGATTGATTCTGAGCTGTCCATTGTATTCCGAGCTTTACCTCATTTGTTGAGGTCTACATAGTCCAGCCGACCACCAGAAGAAAGAGGAAGGGGAAAAGTAAGCAGCCTTGTCTGACTTCGGTTCTTAATTGGAGTGCATCTGCCAACTGTCCTCCATGCATGACTTTGCACTGTAGTCCGTAGTATGAATTCCGTTTGGACTTAACAATCTCAGGTACACCATAGTGTCGAAGAAATTCCCATGATGCTCTCCTAACCACACTGTCAAGCACATCATAGTCAAGGAAGGTGATGTATAGTGACAAATTACACACAACTGGTTGTTCAACGATTATCCGTAGTGTCGCGATTTGGTCAGTGCCCGACCGATCATTACGGAATCCAGCCTGTTGATCTCGAAGTTGGGCATCTACTATATATTCCATCTGGTTCAGCAATACTCTATTGAAAACTCTTCCTGGTACCGACAGTAGTGTGATACCTCTGTAGTTTTTACATTTGCTCAGATCTTTCTTTGGTACATCGATGAGGTATTCTTCTTTCCAGTCCATCGGCACTTGTTCTTCCTCTCAAATCTTTCTGGAGCATACTTGTAGTTACTACTATATCTGACTTCTATTTTTCAGCTGGCATATTGTCAAGTCTTGCTGCTTTCCCAATTTCATTTGTCTGATGGTCGTCCTGATTTCTTCGATATTTGGTGGAGTGTCATCTATAGGAAGGTTTTAATTACTGCCTTGATGTCCGATGGATACAGTGGAGCTAGTCTATTTAAGAGTTCCTCAATGTGTTTCACTCCTCTGTCTCTGTTTTTGAGTCTCAGTGATTGGCTTGTTTTGTTTGCACTTGACTGGTTTCTCTGGTTTACCACATTTCCCTGACGGTTTTTTCGTTGTGTCATGAAGCTGTCTCATATTTCGTTCTCTTGCAGCTTTTCCCGCTGTCGATCCTAGATCTCCCACGTATTTATACCTGTCGTCTCTAATGCTTTACTTCACTTGAGTGTTTGCTTCTGTGTAATTAGCCTGCACCTTCACTTTCTCTGTTCTTGTTCGGCTGTTGCTAATTGCTGTCTTCTTGTTATTCCTTTCTTCAATCTAAGCCAGGGTTCCCATAGCGATCCATTCCTTATGCTGATGATACTTCTTGAGGCCTAGAACCTCCTGATACGTTAAAATTAGTGCTCCTTTGATTTGTTTCCAGTTGTCCTCCATAGTACTTTATTCTTCTTTAGTAGATCTTGTAGGGCTTGGGACATGTTGCTGAAAACTCTCCTGAATTCGTTGAGTTTGTCAGTATTTCATAGGAAGGCAGTATTGAACCTTTGTACTGCTGCTTCCCAAGCTGTCCAATGTTTCTCTAGCTTCAATTTCATCTTGACAACCACCAGGTGATGATCTGAACTGATGTCTGCTACTCTCTTTGTTTTCACATCCTCCATTGGCCGTCTGAATTTTTTATCGATGTAAATATGGTCGATCTGGTTGGCTGTAATGTGGTCCAGTGATACCTATATAGCTTTGTTTATGGGTTTGTGTAGGAATATTGTGCCACCTGTAACCAATTTGTTGAATGCACATAGATTTGCCAACCTCTCATCATTTTCCTAGTCTATGTCGCCACATGACATCCTCATATTTAGTGTTGTTCATTCCGACTTTAGCGTTTAGATCTCTCATCAGGATGATCAGATCTTTTCATGGGCACTTTACTTTGATTAATTTAAGCCTCTCATAGATCTGATCTGTATCGTTGTCATTGCTATTGTTGATGGGTGCACAATGTCAAATAATGTTCAGTGACTCCCTCCTTTGTTTTGAAAGACTTTTTGATGATTCTGGGTCCATGAGATTTCTATTCTATAAGTGCTTCCTTGGATAGCATCAGAGAAACTACCTGCGTGTGCAAAGCATTTTCTTCTTCATCACCAGAGTACAACAGCCTCTCTCCTTAACTTATTTTTCTTGTCCAGCTTGAGTTCAATGGGTTTCACTTATCCCGACCTATGCCAAGTGGTATCTCCTCATTTCCGTTGCTATTTAACTGAACCTTCCGGTCTTCCACATTATGCAGACACGCCATGAGCCTATATTATTATACTATTATTGTATTATATTTATTGTTGCTCTGGCTGTTAGAAAAAGTATCGGCCTCGTGAATTCCGAAGAATACTGACTTTTACCATGGGGCGTCGTAATTCTTCTGAATAATGATCCCTCAATTCAGAGGGCAAAGTTGAAATGGTTTGATTTGTTTGTTCTGGTTAACGTTTTTTAACAAAACTGTTTTCTATGGGACCCCACGCCCAACCCTCCTCTTTTACTCGGGTTTCGGACCGGCAGTTACCCTAGAAGAGCTACAGGAGTATAGAAATGCAAAACTCGTAGCATATCGATATATTCTTCAAATCAAGCCAACAGCAGATAAACTAATAATGATACCCCTTATTTTATCGAGAGTTTTTAGATCTTTTGTTAGTAGGAATTAAGTTTCATATGCTATTGAAACCCAAGATTAAAATAATTCTCAACAATAATTGGTTATATCCTATAAAGTCAGGCCGGTTTCAACTAACTCGTGGGAGACATCAAAAATATTTTGAGCGATTCATTTCAAATTTGCTTAAATTTTTTTTGCATTCGGTTTTAAAAACTAGTGTAAAAGAAATGGGAAAGCGCTACTGAATTTCTTTGCTTTGGGAAATCAGCTTTTCAACACTTTTCTTAGACATTCATCTCGTATTCATTTTCTTGATGATTACTTGAAGCTATCGAATAAATGCATGTATCTAGCGTAATATTCTTAATTTTAAGTTGTCATTACTTTCAAGTTATAATATTAATTACAGTTTAAAGAGCGTAGTGGTGTACTGAAACTAAGAAAACATTCTACCTAATGAAAACCAACAACAGATGGTATTCATCATATTAAACCTTACTGAGAAACATAAATCTTGTTTCCTGGTTAACCAAAAATAAGTTCCGATACACATACAGCAGAGTTCGTACTGTAATTCAAAACGCAGTTTTACAAGCTTTGAAATGAAATAATTAACGCAGTCGTCATTGACAAAGACAAATCATTTAATAAACAAGTCTTTCTCATCTTGATATTGATCAGTTTCAGCAAAATGTGCAAAGGAAAAACTAATATTTGTCAGACAAAGAAAACTCATCGAATATGCCTTGAAAACGTTTACTGCGTCTTGAGCAAAATTTTAGTTTCGTGACAGATTATTTTCTGATGTTTTCAACTGGTCTTCCTCTATTTGATTTATTTACATTACATGTAATTAATTTTTGGTTGGTTAATAACTAAATGTTCATCTTCAATGCCACACCCATTTTGCTGAATTGCTTGCCTCTCTTATAGCTTGAACTATTGTTGTACAGATAATTTTGTAAAGTTCATCACAATAAATAACCTTTTTCTAACTTCTTCGTTGAAATATACTCTGTTGAGCAAACCCCTGGCTAACAATAATTAACGAAAAAACACCTGCTTAATTCTAGTTAATAAAATATGTAAATATCGAAATTAGTAAATATAAAGCATTAGATAGTCATCACTTCATATAGGGCAGTAGTGTATAAAGGATCAATAAACATAAAATGAATGGTTTAAAAGAGATGTAAAAAACTTACGGGAAGAAAGGTAAATCTTCAAACTACTTCGCTGTCGTGCTAAGAATGACACCATGTCTAATAAACTCTGTCCGAATAAATATTTAACAATCTGTTTTATCAATATTTATTATTTGGTTGCATTAAACCTCTTCTCAAACAAATATATTGTAATAAGACTTCAACAAGAGTAATTACTTTTAAATAGAGTGGTACTATTAAAATAATTCACTGCTCATTATAAGTAATTATTATTGTACGTAATAAGAAATACAGTACAAATTAAAAGTGAATTAAGTATAAATCAACCGTTAAATATAATCCATATCAGTTCACATATAGACGTTATTACTACATTATTTCTTCTCTGTTCAAAAAATGTACACAAATACCATGCTTCATAAATACATCACGTTCTATCAGTTAAAGTTGACAAATATTTATCAGTGTAGTTTTATCGACGCTGGTAACAATGAAAGTACCAGTGAAAGTACCAGAATGCACAAGTAAAGGGTATAGAATAAAATAAACGAATATATATATATATATATATATATATATATATATATATATATATATATATATATATATATATATATATATATATAGAGAGAGAGAGAGAGAGAGAGAGAAAAGAAACTAAAAACATCACAGTTCTTCAAGAAAGAAAAAGAAAATTTATTTATTTACATATCACTTGCATGTAGATGAATATAATTAGAGAACAGTGAAGAAACAATTTTAAAGTTAAGTGATGTACAGTGTTTACAATTTTATAGTTAAGTTGAAAAAAGGTGTACTCATTTACGTACACAAACGTGAGAAGGTACCTTAAAATTGGTTAACTGCTAAGCAATTACCATGGCGATGCTGAAATGACATTAGCAAGAATTCTGAAGAATAAATTTATTTCATTACACCATTAATAGAAGTTTTATAATGATTCAATTGTAAGATTCGACGTTCCGCTATGATAACACGGTAGAACAAAACTAAATTCATTGTTGTAAATACTGTGAAACTCGAAAGTAGAATCCAACTAACAACAACTGGTAACTTGTGCCTGTTAATGATTCCCCATCCAAATAACGACAGTGTAAGACATATACGAAAGATGATAAATGTAACTATTTAGAAAGAGAATAATAAAAAGAAAGGGGGATTCTTATTCAAACATAAACAAGTTGATTTATTTCATGTTATAACATTTCAAGTGGAGTAATTTCACGAAATCCACTGAATGGTCATACACATTCTGAGTTGATCCATATCATATTGATAAGTACGTAAGTCATCAAAAGTGTATTCAGCGAATTTCAGTAAAAAGAGACAAAAATATATCATTTATTTGGCAAAATTTACATTTCATCTTTGTAAGTAGATGATATAATCACATTTGCAAGTGATATTTAAAAGTAGGGGATAGTCGGGAAAATAAAACGGATGATAAAAGTTAATTTTAGATCTCTTCATTGTTTCCTATCAAGCTCATAAGCAGGTAGGCAGTTATTACGATTGATTGTTTGCTAGTAATATGTTACTTCAATAGAGCTTCAAATATATCAGGTGACAAAATGTAAATTTTGCAAACTGAAATTACTAACAGTTTTACTGTATAGGTTAGCTAATGTATTTTACATAAGTGTAAAATCCAAATGATAAACGAGTGAACAAGTTAAGTTTGCAAAATATATCAAAATTTTTTAAAAGGGATCACTAATGGGTTGGTGTCTGACGAAATCTCAGCACGGATTCAAAAAGCTCGTTTGGCTTTCGCTAACTTACGTCACGTATGGCGAAGGCGAGATATCCGTCTATCAATAAAAGGATGAGTATGCTGCACGGCAGTTCGTTCTGTTCTACTTTAGGGCTGCTGAACGTGGCCATTAAGAGTAAAGAATACCCGTAAGCTATTAGTATTTGACAACAGATGCCTTAGAAATACTGCTGGCGTCTGCTGGGATCACCGGGTAAGTAATAGTGAGGTTAGACGTAGGGTATTAGGAAATGATGGTAAATCAGTTGATGAGGTTGTTAATCTTCATCGACTGAGATGGTTGGGCCACGTGTTACGTATGCTTGAATACCGATTACCACGTCATGCAATGCTATCCGGTATTGGAGATGGTTGGAAGAAGGTTAGGGGCGGCCAAACCAAAACGTGACATCAGTGCTTGAAGTCACTAACTTCTAGTCTGAGCCATGTTGGTAGATGCAGACTACTTGATTGGGGTCCGCGTGACTATCGTAACCAATGATTGGATACTCTGTGTGACATGGCGCAGAATCGATCACAATGGCATCGGTGTATACACTCCCTGTCTTCCCTTAAACTAAGAGATTAAAATCACTTCATATCTTTCTTTCTACGAACTAATTTTTTCTTCTTGTACTATATCTCTATATGCAATCTTTCTCTTATATATTACCACCTTTGACATAACCACTGCTATGAATCCGGTGTTCATCTTGTTGTGCTGATGCGGTATGGCAACCTGGACCGATGCACATATGTGCCTGGTCCTACGTTGTAGCTGACTGACTGACTGAATTTTACTCCAGTTATCTATTATTCTCATAATCTCTGCTTTCTTGCATCTACATTTGCTAAATTTTCAAAAATAAATACAAATCTATTTATTCACTAAAATAAGCGCATAATTTTATGACAGTTGAACGGAATTCTCAGGAGTGTAATATATCATGAGGGATACTTTTGCGAAAAAAACAACAATTGGTGGAACAATGCGTTTAAATAAGTCAACTAGGTTTCAAAAGCTATGCATTAACAGTTTAGTTAAACCTCTTAGGACAGATCGAAAAAAAGAAAGTGGCATTTATTCATGAAGTAACTATTTTAGAGAGTAAATGGATGCTTGATATGTAATTATGATTGAAATGAAAAGATGAACTGTTTAACAAATTGTATTTCTCACAGCAATAAGAGCCACTTAAAGGGTACTAGATATCACGAAAAAATTGCCAATCTTCAGTATGAAATGTATTTTTTTATTTTTCAGAAATATTTTCATTTAAAAAGTGAAAGATTTGCTTATGTGATTAACAGTCAACAGTAACAGAACTAATGAGTATAAATACTCGTTGAATACTTTCGAAAGCTAAAACGTATGTAAACTGAGTTATTAAACCTCGTTATTTAGTTTATTGATTGTATACCAAGTCTTGATTACTCGAGTTTAACTAATTTTAATTAATTAAATATCAATTTGTTGTATATGGGTATAGCTTATAAGCTTGGGACATATATAGCATTGGATTCGTTGACATGATAATATTTATAAGCCACACGTGTGGTTCTAATTTTGACTATGTATGATCACGAATGTTGTTCGTTTTTATCATAAATATATGTTAAATTTGAAATATATATTTCTGTTGGGAACGATTTCTGACAAATACTACGAGAATGATATCGAGAAATTAATCTATAAGAAAGATTAAAACTCATGATGTCTTTGAATTAAATTGAATACACGTACAAGAATACAAACCGATAAGATTTCTCGGCTTGACTAGATTGGACCACACCAATTATTTGAGGTACTATCGTGAGATGTAAGTTGGTTAGATAGTGGTAAGACCGAAAGTGGCAAATTCAAAATCCGAGGGTTAAGCTGTACTTCTAGAAACAATAAGTTGTAATGATGGAAAAATATTTATTACAGTTAACTAGCACTTGTAGTGACCTAGTCTTCTCACAAAAAATGATCAAAGATGACTTTTCTATGCATGTACCACAACTTTATTAGCTTAATCAGCACGTTAAAATATGTACTGAAGTAAAATAATTAAGTAACATTTTTCGCTAACCACGGAAAATGCTATTTATTTGTAGTTAATTCAAGGATTATAAGTGTTACTTAAAAATAAAACCACTTACTCAGAAATAACTTTACAGATATTATGTCCAATATTTTAGGTGGATAGTGTTTCAAGCAGTTAATGATTTGAATCGCTAACCACTTATTAAGCTTCATTAGGTATACAGAAACAAAACAGATGGCATGATAGGTTAAAATGTGACAAGCGCAAATAGAATGGTGCAACAGTAGTGTGCAAAAATCTCAGTGCTAAAACAATTTTCTGGTTTCCAAAAGATGATACAACAGATGTCTACTGACTTAAACTGATAAAACTGGGTATTTTCAGATAGCTTAATCTAGTTTATTTATCAGTATATTAGATAAGCAAATGAATATCCGTGAACTACATCTTAGTATTTACAACAAAGTGGGCAGTTTGTGAACTATTTCCAACTCACTAGTTCGAGTAGGTTAAAAAGTCGTAATTTGTAAGCTTTACAAAAATCCTACATGTATAAAAGTTTTTACGAATTATATGTACGTAAAACTAAGTATCATGACAAATGATCCCGAAAACAAACCCATACAAAGATCACGAGATATTGACAATCGATTTGTTAATGCTGACGACGACTGATAAGTGTCACTAAGATGCGCCAAAAACAGTAGGTATGCTAATCGTTTCTTTAAAAGCACCTTTTATAAGCACAATTTTTCCCATAGGGACTTCCTTTAAACTAAAAAACCTTCTAATAATTGGAGGGCTAGGGTCATACTGAGATAACTTGCATGAAATGTATGCGCCTTTTAAACCACCAAATAAAAATAATGAGAACTATAAAAGGAAACACGATGACTTACTGATATTTGCAATAGCATTAAGGCGGTATGTTACTGATTCAGGGTCTATGTTAAGCAATATCATTAACTTTCTTGCGTGAAGAAATATGCTGTTTAGCTCCATCAAAAGCCCAAACAATGCGTAACAAACAAGAATCCTATACCAAGATACAACGTAAAAGCAGGTTAAAACCTAAGTTAAAAAGCTGATGAAAACTTAAGGGCAAAAGGCTACTGTAATGTGATGCAATATTATCTCCAACGATCTTAGTCCAACACCGCCACATATATTATGATAAATGTCGTGAACAAAATAACCTGGTAAAATAGAATTATGATGAATCTAGTATACCTGTCGCGAATCCCATAATATGATAGGCGAAAACGTTCTCTGAATCTATGACATTACCGACTAGGTCAGGATATGAAATGAGGCTGAAATAAATATTTTGTCAACCGAAACTCACCAAATAAGCGAACTTAGTCCAGATATAAAAGCGTGGATTATGGAGATGGAGTAATTTCTTAGTCTTATGAACAAGTAAGTGTTTCTCGTAGTTTTATTGCTCGATTGACATGTTTGAAGGACATAGTCAATCATGTAAAACAGTAGAAATGCAGACACAGAAGTAGCGTGACTATTACTGAGGTCTATGTCGGCATTCAAAACGCGACCATACAAGGTCATATTTCTCGATCCGCTGCTCTTCAAGTATCCTTTTGATGACTCACTTAAACAATGATATAATGTAATAAGTAATATTTCATTTTAACTCAAGATGTTACGGAAGCACTGATATACCGAAAAAAATGCACAAAGACAGTCTGAATAACCGAAGGTTTTCTAATCCGATAATCAATAATATTGACCATACAGCTCTACATAACAGAAAGTGAATACAATCTTTTCAAAATCAGTCAAAACTTCGCTGGAGTAAAAAAGCGAATCTACCATAAAATGTATTGACTACGTCCTACACCATACAAAAGACAATCATTTTCAAAATAGGCTTGTTTTTAATTATCGACTATTTGTATCATTAAATGTCCTTAGATTGTGGCCCACGTCATCAAATTGAGCAGATATTCTTATGGCTTGTGAATTTGTTAATAACCTTATACAGGATGCCACTGTCGGTACAATTGTTTCCCGACACTCGTAGAATAATAAGTAAGGTGCCTTCGATTTTTAGACGAAGCTGTTTGCACGCCTAGATGTACATAAAAAAGACAGCAAAACTTAAAATTCACACTCAATTTAGTTCAGCATGAAAATGAAAATTCAATACACTTCAACATTTCGGTTCGCACTGTACAGTTAAAAATTTTCTCGTAAAAACATTGTACCATACGCCAAGGAAGTAATAAGTACCGAGGAATCAAATAGAATCTACTAGATACTAAACTGGTCGTTTTGAAGTTTTGTGTTCATTGACGTTCGAAGTGATGGTATCAGGGTTTGCAATTGCACTACTTTTAGTGCTATCAAGGAAATCCAACTCTCAGTTTCTCTATATCCTCCCTCATCTACATTAAGTACATGAAAAACTTCTATGACTTATACCACTGTAGCGGTAAATAAATCCCTAAAATAAATAGCTCTGTAAGTTTTCGACATTGGATGCTGACCATATGTTTTAGTGGACTCATCTAGCTGAAGGCGCTCGGTCATGCATCCGCACCAGATCACGTGTGGTAACGCCGTGCTCGACATCAACCGCAATCGCTAGCCAGATTAGATCAGAGAATTCCGATATATTGGTCGTCGCCAAATATACTCTTCCGATCTCCTCGACTCTGTCTTTTGATTTCTGTGGGCGGGAACGAAATACGTTAGAAGGTGTCACGGGTAGAAGCGTTGTCAAACACTGAATACCTGTGACATCATCATTGGTGAAACCGACGTGATCTGGTACACCTTATTGCAACTGTGAGTCTGTTCCTTTTTGGGATTTTTATATATCATTGCCTTATTTTTTATTTTTTTTAAACATTGTGATTTTTTTTTCGTGCTTTTTCTTGGATATATATATTTTCCCCTCGTTCATTATCATACCTAAACAGACGCCTAAAGTACTCAAGCTTAAGACTTTGTCCCCACCTTCGTTTCAACTGATGCCTTTCTGGCCTGACAACATCGAAGCCTGGTTCTGCTACGCAGAAGCCGACTTCTCCGAGCACGGCGTGATCGACACACGTGCACAATTCCTCGCAGTAGTCAAGGCACTACCGCGCGAATTCAACAGGTACGTAACACCTAGTATGTTTACTAGTGATGTTTCCGATCCTTACGAAATCTTAAAACGCTCGATTCTTAAACGAGGAGACTTAACCGATCGACAAAGGTTAGATGAACTCTTCAATAACATCGACCTGCAACACGGTTCTGCGACAGACATGTTGCAACGGATGAGAGAGATTATAGGCCCAAGAACTTTCGATGAAGATTTATTCAAACAACTCTTCTTGTCAAAACTTCCCCAACAGGTGCAAGCAGTTCTGGTCTCGTTCCAGAACAACGCGTTAGACGAACTAGCTGCATCTGCCGACCGCATTTTGCAAATTACAAAACCTACCACCGAGGTATTTTCAGTCAAAGAAAAGCCTCACACGACTCAGAATGATATAACAGACTTATGTCACACACTCACGCGTTATCTTAGTCTTCGTACCGACCGTAAGAGATCGCGCACACCACGTAGAAGCATTTCTCGTAAGCGATCTGTCTCTAGACCACGAGAGACAGATAACCCCGACTGGTGCTGGTATCATAATCAGTATGGAAAGCTTTCCAGAAATTGCAGAAAACCCTGCAATTTTTCCAACACGAAACCGACTGATTCGAAAAACAGTTCGGGAAACTTCCAAGCCGGCACGCGTTAACGGCAACCGTAGCCGGCGAACATAGCCGTCTGTTATACGTCACAGATGTGACAACGAGAGTTCGCTACCTCGTCGATACTGGCGCAGAAGTTAACGTTCTCCCAGCGAATCCCAACGATCGGCTTCAAGATTCGGCTCTAAACTTACAGGCGGCAAACGGAAAACCGATCGCTACGTATGGGAAAAGGTACGTTCTCTAAAGCACGACGACTAGCTCCTGAAAAGCTAAGGTTAGCGAAAAACGAATTCGATCACATGATGGACTTAGGAATCATACGACCGTCAAGTAGCCCATATGCATCTCCGTTGCACATGGTCCCTAAAAAGGACAGCAACGACTGGCGTCCAACTGGTGACTATCGGCGACTGAACGCGAAAACCATTCCCGATCGTTACCCGTTGCCTCACATTCACGATTTGACAGCTACCTTGAAAGGTACAACTGTCTTTTCGAAAATCGACTAGGTTAAAGCGTATAACCAAATCCCTACGGCTACTGACGACATACCGAAAACAGCTATCATAACTCCCTTCGGACTCTACGAATTTTTGCGAATGCCTTTCGGTCTAAGGAACGCTGCTCAAACATTCCAAAGATTCATAGACGACGTTTTTCGAGGTCTCAACTTCGTACATGCGTATGTTGACGACTGTCTAATCGCAAGTCCGGACAGAGAAACACATCTCAAGCATCTGGACCTTGTTTTCGAACGACTTCAAAAACATGGCATAACTGTAAACGTTCAGAAATGCCAATTCGGAACCGACTCGTTAGACTTCCTAGGACACACTATCGATGCTCAAGGCATTCGACCTCTTAGGACCAAAGTGGCGGCCATTCTGGATTACCCAGAACCGACCACCGTCAAGCAATTACGCACGTTCAACGGCCTCGTAAGTTTCTATAGACGTTTCATACCGAAATGCGCATTACTTATGAAACCGCTAACCGACCAACTTCGTGGAAATGCGAAATCCATTAATTTGGACGACAACGCACGAAAAGCATTTTCCACTGTTAAGGAACTGATTGCTAAAGCAACAATGCTCGCACATCAGTACACCGAAGCACCCATTAGTATCTCAGTAGACGCATCCGACTCAGCAATCGGAGGAGTCTTACAACAATGGGTTAACAACTCCTGGCAACCCTTGGCATTTTTCTCTAGAAGGTTGCTAGACACCGAATCGAGGTACAGCACATTCGGTAGGGAACTCCTAGCTATGTATTGTGCTGTACGGCATTTCCAACACTACATCGAAGGTCGTGAATTCACTCTTTTCACGGACCATAAACCGCTCACTTTCTCGTTAAGCTCTCCTTCTGACAAGTACTCTCCACGTGAGTCTCGACAACTGGACTACATTTCGCAGTTTACTTCAGATATTCAACACATCTCTGGAGCAAACAATGTAGTTGCAGACGCCTTATCTCGTATAACTTCCTTGAACAGTTTCCAAGGAATCGACCTTCTTAAACTCGCCGAGCTTCAAAAAGAAGACAGTGATCTTCAGCACGAGTTATCGTCCACAACACTTAAACTACGCATCAAACAGATGGGAACAGGTAAGGAAACCTTACTTTGTGACACATCTACAGGTAGGGATCGCCCAATCGTGCCGAAACATTATCGACGCAATGTCTTCAACACATTGCACAACCTTTCTCATCCAGGTGTTCGTGCAACCATCAAGCTTATAGCAGAACGATTTTGCTGGCCTGGAATGAATAAAGACGTGAGGGAGTGGGCACGCTCCTGTGTAAGCTGCCAAAAATCTAAGGTCATCAGACACAATAAATGTCCCTTAGGCTCGTTTAAAACTCCCGATGCGAGTCTTGACGAACGAAAACGTGTGTACTATATCGTAAGTCAGGTTGAACGAAAACATCAGTTGATTGGGGTCGAGTGGAAGCAGGTTTAACTGAACGCATTGCGTTTGTAAACCTGTTCGTGTAGGAGGTTAGATCCATGTTCATTGAAGAGGACGAAGGATCCACGAATTCTCCTGGAAGTCGAAGTGTCGTTCCATAAACGAGTTGAGCCGCAGTGTATCCAATGTCAGCTTTCATTGCATTGCGGATACCTAGTAAGACGAGTGGAAGAGCGTCGGTCCACTGTGAAACGTTTGCAGCTGATAGCGAAGCTTTCAGTTGTCGGTGAAAACGTTCTACCAACCCGTTTGCTTGTGGATGGTAGGCGGTCGTTCGGAAGCGAGTGATTCCTAAAAGCGTGGTCAGACGACGGAAAAGATCGGATTCAAACTGACGTCCGCGGTCTGTAGTGATGGTTGAAGGGCAGCCAAAGTTTGCTACCCATCGTTCGACGAAGGTGCGAGCCAGTGTTTCAGCAGTGATGTCCTTGATAGGTACTGCTTCTGGCCATCGAGTGAAACAGTCTACGCAGGTTAAGAGATAAGAGTATCCATTTGAATCTGGTAAAGGTCCTACCAAATCCAGATGAACATGGTCGAAACGAGCATCGGGAGTTTTAAACGAGCCTAAGGGACCATTCCAATCAGCATACGAAGGACCCTTCAAAGTTCTTCAACGTGAATCTAAGTACTATATAGTCGATAAGAACGGAACCAACGATAGCATCAGTATCGATCGCTTAAAAGCAGCGTATTTAGAAGGAAATCCTATCTACGTGGATTTTCCTTCGGTACAATCGAACGACACGACTCCGACACTTATAATACCTCATCCGACAACCAACACACACGATGATACTTCGACAGTATCCGAAAATAAACTTAAAACGACGCGTTCTGGAAGAAGGGTGAGATTTCCAGAACATTTAAACGACTATTGCACGTAAGGCACTTCTCGAAATTTCATATTATTTTTTTTAAAAAAAAACAATTTTAATATGCTTATATATTTTTTATTTCTATTTAAAAAAAAAACAAAAAAACAATTTTTTTAACGCTATTACGTGTTCATGAGTTTATTTTCCATTTTTTATCCGCCGACATTGTGCTTTTACGCACATACGAGTGTATTTTCGACATGCACTTACATTTTCTTTTTTCTTTTCCAGGACGGCTGGAAAAGAACGATGACGTTTATGAGGATCCGAAATTTTCATTGTACATTTTCTTTTTTTACTATGTTGTACCTCGGTCCCATATAGTAAGGAAAGACGACCAGACGCTGCTAAATTTAGTAAGCTACCAGAAGAGTGTTTACCAACGACAAACTCGTTGGGTTTAAACTTCTGGCTGGCCACGTCTTAGGGTCGTCACTGCCCCACTAGGGGGGGAGTGATCTGTAGCGGTAAATAAATCCCTAAAATAAATAGCTCTGTAAGTTTTCGACATTGGATGCTGACCATATGTTTTAGTGGACTCATCTAGCTGAAGGCGCTCGGTCATGCATCCGCACCAGATCACGTGTGGTAACGCCGTGCTCGACATCAACCGCAATCGCTAGCCAGATTAGATCAGAGAATTCCGATATATTGGTCGTCGCCAAATATACTCTTCCGATCTCCTCGACTCTGTCTTTTGATTTCTGTGGGCGGGAACGAAATACGTTAGAAGGTGTTACTGGTAGAAGCGTTGTCAAACACTGAATACCTGTGACATCATCACCACCATAACATATCTTGGCTATTTTGGAACTGTGGTTAAATGAAGTCTCAGATCATCTCTGTTGATTGTGAGTCTGCTTCAGTTAAATGGAGACGAGGTCCGCCCCCCCACTGTCGTAGTATACAAGTAATGAATCTAACTTAATAACGGCATAAAATAAATAAAACATAATAAAAGTAATGTATTATAGGGAATGACAATAGAGGTAGATGATGTTAACAAGGCTGTATGTGGTTGACGCTCAGGAAATTACGACGAACTTATCAAACATTGCGCATGGAATGGCCAATACTTTGTACATAATACCATATATATTTGGAGAGTTAGATAAAGATCGTCTTGTTTAATAAAGTGATATCTACAAATAGTTGTTGAATGTCGTGGAGGCCATCTTAAGTTCGAGAGATGGTTGTTTCATTTAATAACAAATTACCTCATGATTTTTCATGGCACATTCGGTTTAAAACACATGAAAGTTCAAATAGTGCCGTTTCAAGAGCATGCAAGCACTTGTGTAATTCTAGCCGTTGCAGATATAATATGCTTCCATATTTATTATTTGTTAAACTTTATAATCTTTCTTTAATTCATACCATATGGAATCCAGTGAATAGATTTGCATGTTGTCGACGTTGATGATGACCTCATTAGTTTTACTGGACACACGCTAGCTAGAAACGCTCCATCACACACCAGAACCGGATCACTGTTGTATCCGCTGAGCCTTGCATCTACAGCAACAACTAGCTAGGTTAGACCAAGATATCGATAGCTTTCCAAAGGTTTCACCGCATCTCTCCGATAACAACTTCTGATTTGGCTAAGTTGGTATAGTTTGATTAATTTGGTTTTACGTGTAAAGACATTGTCAGACTCCGAATGCCTGTGGCAGTTTCTAATAATATAGTTTTTATAGTGAAGTAAATTGGATAAGACAAAATGGATTGCCGCATAGTACGTTATACGACTAACGGCTCCCGGAAGTGTAAAATTTTGCAACATCAGAAATGATTGTGCAAGATTAAAAAATGAGCAGAAAAATGTGTGCATTTACAGTCATTATCGCTGGCTGTGATATCACTTTTATCCAGCCAACTAGTAAGGGGGCAAGTTATGCTCGGTTCAATCGTTACGTGTCACGGATTTGATCGAACAGAAAATCTTCGGGTCCTTTAGGTCCCTTGGGTCTCCATCATGCTTCTCCAAAGCCATCGCAATAATGATGTCAAACATCATTTTCTTTTATCTCGGAATTTTCTTCATCCTTCTCAGCATCTCTTACAGTTGCTTTGTTTGTGTAATAACTGAATTATACACATTCCATTTTCAGCTCTCATTTCATTGGAAAACACGACCCATTGCCATGAAATCGTAAACCTTGTGAGAGAATTAGGATGAAATATTCATTCAATCAACAATAATCTTAGAATACGCATAATCTTATATAGTTAACCATATTTTGTTTGTATCAACTACTGCGAATGATATTTTTCACCTTTTGTTGCAAGATTTGGATTATGCTACATGATGTTGTGAACATATTTTCAATGACATAAACATTGATGAGCAGTCTCTATGTTGTTGCCAGACTTCGTCCCTCAACTCTTCAGTATGTTTTTCTGTTTTGAAATCTAATATAGTGTTAATTTTTTTTATATTACTCTTCACACCTGACCATTTCAAATTGTTGTGTACGGAATAGAAGCTTTCTCCAGGAGAAACCTAGGTATATTGACGATTATAGAGAAAAATATTGGTAGATGATAATAAGATTTCTTTTGTACTCCTTGAGAATCGGTCACGTTTCCTCTTAAAGGACTACAGAGAAATCGCTTAAACTAGCTCAGTCGGCAGCTAATTACAGAATTTGACAACTCTTAAGGTGTGGTGTGTGTTCATAGTCCATCCTGCGTTGTTGTGTCTCTAGTTTCTAGGTGTTACCCCTTAGGTTTGTGTTGAGGCTAAACTCAGTAGTTGTTGAGGGGAACCTAAGCTTCCAATTTTGGGGTATTTTAGGGAAACTGCCGAAGTCAAATGACCTTCACCAACGTTTGAGGAAATTTTGGGGTTCAGGTCTCGTTTCCCCAAAGTTTACTATAGCGGCTTCCCCAAAATTTGCCAAGTTTTCCTCAAAATTGGAAGCTTGGATATATCCAGAAAATTCAAGGATACTGTTAGCCGCTGGAAGATCGCCTATAAGACGCCTATAATCTAATGAGTAAAGGTTTATTGATTGTAAAAACCCCTCATAAGGCTTGGATTTGAGTCCCCGAAGTGATTTCTTGGCTCGCCGTTGAATACACTCCAGTGTCCTTATCCCTTTGAAGTGAGAGAAAAAATGTTATGTTTCTGTATTCTAAATGGGGACGAATAAAACTGCTAAAATTTAAATTATGATAAAAACAATGAACTACCTTGCAAGTAAATCTCTCACTGATAATACATGGTAAAGACAAAGCATTTCGCATCGTGACTGCCAAAAGTATTGTTGAACTCATTGAACTTGCTTTATATATATTTACACTCTTACCATTCTTGATTTCACTAAGATAATCACCCAAACGTTTGTGCCGAGATTATTCGCTTTCGTCAAAGAATCAGTTCGCTGAATTTTAGTCACTTCGAACATGTTGTACAGCAAATACACTCATATTTTATTTTCAATGAAAACAGTTATTATAGACACGTACTTTCAGTTATAAAAGTATCAAAAATGGTACCGTACTAACTAATAATTAACACGGAAAGCTATATTATTTACCACTAGTTGATGTTTCAGAGCTCATTATTGTGAATGTAACTCAACAGATGCGATACAATGGTAGGAACCTGAACTCGGAATGTATTATGAATATTCAATTAGGTTGCCTTTGATAGACCATTCAGTTAACTTTCGTGCCACATATTCAGCATCGTAACCAAGTTTTAATAAAATCGCACCGGTAGACAACGGTGTATGTTTCTTAATTTCTATTAATTTAATGGTTTGAAAGCTTCTATAGTATTTCGAGTCGCTAAGCCCATCAGGCATGATTGAACTACCGAGGTTGCGAAAGATTTAACATTTAAACATGAATATCTGCTCATTAATGTAAGGAATCAGTTTATTTCATTTGGGTGTTGACGACTTACCTTCAGTTGCCTGGTCAAAAGCTGTTTTAAATAAACGTGGAAGCCAAGTTTGACAGACAGCTGAGTTTTGATTCAACAAAACTAATCAGCAAATCTACGTTTTACTTTGAACGGCTGAGAGTCAAAGTAACTAGTTATTAGTTAGTGAAGATATGAAAATTTCAAAACATATATGTCAGTAGAATATTTGAGAAAAGTTACACAATTGTTCATGGAATTTCGGTTCGAAAGACAGAATGATGTCAATATTTAACGATGATGTGTAGGGTAAAATGACAGTAAAACCATGCAACTTGAGAGCTAAAGAATTTCGGTTATGATTTTACTACAAAGTAAGCAAGCCTACTCTGTTAAAGAGTATGTTACATATTTTCCATTCAACAGTTAACATGCACATTCTTTTAAAGAAATCACCACTGTTTAGTTCTTGTCATAATTAGTCAACGTACCATTATTTTTATTTCATTTGAAACTCACCTTTGCAAGAAAGTTTGGTATGGCACTGTGGACTAAAGTACGCTTTGAAGGCTGAAATGTATATTAAAAGCAACATAATTAAAATTGGTCCGAATTATATTGACTTTGTTGCATCAAAAGAGACATATCGGACGAACTTGCACTTACATTTACCAGGTTTGTATGGTATTACGCTTTCCATCGAGTGAATCGATTGGCCATAATTTATTTACATAATACTTAAATTGTTGTAACTAGTTGGCAGTATCTACTAAATCTTAAGTAGTCTAATACGGATATTTTGTTAAAGTGCAGTGCATTTTATAATGAAAGAGCCAAAGTTTAAGAATTTGACCTGTAGTGTTCAAGCCACACACAATTACGTCGTATTTGTCAGCCACAATTTTTGAAGGACCATCAATTTTACATGAATCGGCGTTTGAAAGTTAGGTGCTTTTTTAACTTGATAGACGCACCAATCGCGTGAAGTATTTTGGATCTCTATTTTGACTATTTGCCAAAAACATTTTTATGTTTGATGTGTTAGCAATCGATAGTTAATATATAGCAGTAGTTTTACCCATAGTGTAAAATAGATAACTTTCAGATTGACCCACACCAGTAACAGTGATCGTCACCAGACGTTGATGATATTTTGTGACAAATATGTATCATAGCAATACTTATCCCGGTCACCAAATTTTCATTGTATCAGTATGTTATAAAAGAATTTCGGATACACTTTGGAGATAGTGAGATTTGTTGCGGAATTAAATTTTTTAAGGTTACTTTGTGTTTATTAATACTAAAAAGCATAATGTCCACATGATTTATATGTTTATTTATTCAACTACAAACCTACAAACAAACCATCATTTGTAGGAAAGTGGAAAATCAAAACATAGTGGCCAATACCTGTAAAGAAAGCATTGTTTGTGTGTTATTTAATTAAAAACGTATAAAGCTGATATGAAAAACCGAATATCATTATGATGCTAAACATATGCCAAAGATCCAAAGTACGATATGTGTGATTTAATAAAATGACTTTTGATATGTAGTACTGTCTAAACATTTTACTTGACTAAGTTCATAGAGCAAAAGCAAGGAATAGGATTCAATAAAGCCTACCAAATTTAGAAAGCAAGATCATTTTACTGTTTGCTAACTCTCTAATTGCAATACCTACAATAGTTACTGTTTACGTACATAAGTTTTTTTCTGGAGCAGCTTTTTAGAACGATGGAATCAAAACTGATGTATACATGTGCGTTTTTTGCAAATAAGTCATCAACGACACCATTTACCTCAAAGAATTCTATATATGCCGTTATACGACGACCGTTTGTTACGTTAGGTGAACAACTTCACAAGTTTTGCTATACGAAACCAGAGTTAATTTGATTTTTATTGTTAGTCAGTGTAGACTTCCCCATGATTTATTCAGTACCAGTGTCGAAATTAAGTTTGATGGAAATTTTTGTCATTCTAAAACATTCATCACCGCTAATATGTACGGTCAGATCACGTTTCTTGCTAGCTCACAGTCACGCACGTTTGAGAACACCCGCATTTACTTATATATTAATGATGTAAATGAAAAGCAATATGATTCCATGTAATTACATGGATGTTGAGTCTTAATTCTTCCAGCTCACCATATTTTACCACTTTACCATTGACTGTTTAAAATAACTGTTTGTTCAAATTCATTATTACAAATCTGAGTACATTTGGTGTTATTTTGGGCGTTGATAGGAGAAACAAAGCACAGTCTGTCAATCTGGAAAAAACTACATTTTACCATTCCAGCATCGTGTAAAATCTACAAATATGTTTAAGTTAGGTAATATTTAAGTCAGGATGTATGTATATTTGCTAGTCCGAATTTACCCAGTTTTTTACAATCTTACATTCTGTTAGTTTTACTATTCATTTATTGCATTTATGATTAAAAGCCTTTGATATTTGTATAAAATAGTGTGCTATAATTTTTGTCTAGACTTAAACAGTATAAAAATCTCAACTCATTAAGAGACAAAGTTTTGATCATGTTTATATTCAATTATCATGTGCTTCAAGTTTATGCAGAACTATTAGCGTAACACATAATAGTATTGATAATGCATTTTGAAGCTCCTTTTCATCATAATGGTTTAATGACTATTTATAGTTTAAAAAAATCAAGATTTGCATTACTGATAATAACTATGTCAGCATGTTATATGATTTGGGCTTTCGAATAAATGCAAAGTTAATACTGATCAGTCTCTTGAGGTAGATTACAATAATCTGACCTATTTTTACCTTGAAGTGACTTATTAAATACTTGTATATACTAGTTACTGCCCTAGAATTTTACTATTGTGTGGTATTTAAATTGTGAAAAACTTATAAGAATATTTACAAACATTTGAAGAAATACTATTGCAAAAGCTTTAATTTATTGCAAGTAAATGTAGTTGATAATATTTTCCGGAAGTTAAGAGGGGTTTTACATTTATTGAGAAAGTGGTTTTAAACCTAACTTTATTTTGATTTATATTTCATATTTAATAAAAAATTACCTTGAATTAATTATGTTAAGTTTTATGAAGTAATTAATGGATGTTATTATCACGAGTCAATAGTTTCTGTTACCTATATTATGTTTGACATAAATGTAGTAAGACAATTACACTAGCTATGTTTCCTGTTGTATGTAAGTTCATTGATGAAGACGCTCAGTTTTTTGATAATGAAAGAGTAAACAAACTTCATTTTCACTATCTTCACGATGAACATGAGGGAATAATGGAAAAAATATTATTAAAAAATGAATTGGGCATATTTCAACATACATAGTAATTTTTTTCATAAGGAAAATCTTTTCAACGGAGTGACTCTCAGATAATTTTAAATGAATAATTATTAATTAATTAGTGATGGCTGAATTTTCTTAATTTGTTTGTAGTGATATGTTAAGCGGTCAGTTAACGTACATCTATCAGCCAGTTGTTACCAGAATAACCCAGTGGCGACGTCACAAACCATGTCATTGGGTGATGAGGTTTTGATTGCATGGTCAGCATCAGTTCATCTAAGATACCAGGTATTGCTTATTTATCAGCGCAAAGTATCACAAAACATAAAATTTGGGATTTCTGATAGTTTTCTTCATCCACCTAACATAAGAACATAGTTCATACAATGTCGAGTCACTTATAATGGTGGTTAAATTACAACTTGACTAATCGAATTTGTCTGATGCCACAAAGTACCATTTCGACACTTTCTCTTTTTGGAGTTGTGTAAGTTTAAAAGGTGCAAATACTGGTGCTATGTCTGTAAAGTACTAATTTTTAAAATTATGTGATTCCGTTCTTTATTTTCTCAAACAAATCTTAAGTGTGATACATAATAACCGATTTAATTCTATATTCATTAAAAATTATTTGAGGAAAGAATATCATGTACCATTAGCAGTTAAATTAAGATTTTTAAGATACCTATTCTTAATTAATGAAAACAGATGTAAACGATTCTATCTACGTCATAATGGTATTTTAATTTTGCCTTAAAAATATTATTTGATGTTTTGAAGAAGCAAAGGCTTTAAGATATCTGTTAAACTGAGTCGCCAGAAAATTTAAAATCAAGAAAACTCTATGAAACTAGGTGAATACGCTTTATTTACTTTTCACTTGTCATTCACAATTTTTAAATTTTTCAGGTTTTTTAACCATCAAGTCAGAAAGTAAATTATTTACCGAGTTCAAATTTATAAAATCTTTAAACCAAGTAGCTTCGCTTCATAAAGGTACTCGGAATAATATAATTGGGACAGTTTTCCTTCTATTCATTGTGAAAATGATTTCTTGTTAATTTATTTTCCTTTCTATACTGAAAAAAAATCATTTTTAGGGAGTTGAATGAAAATCCAAAGCAATACATAACAATTAAGGAAAATGAAATTATTCTAATAAATAATGGTGAAATCGGGTGTGCACTGGTTGCAGATCATCGAGTTCGAACAAGAGTATTTCCCTTAGATCATATATTTGGTTCAGTTGATCAACGTAACCCGGATAATGATTCTCAGGCTTCAGTAAGTGATGATGATTTCTTTTGGCAATAAATTTAAGAATTTCGAGAAGTTCAAAATCCTCTTGTAGACTTGTAGCTATTTTTTGAAACAACTACAAATCTTGAAGTTCAAGAATTCCTAAAAACTTGTATTGAATTTTTATATGATTTAGTAGGTTATTTCATTGAATACACTATTGAATACACTTCAAATTAATTGAAAATAAACCCAACACAAGCATGAAGTGTACCTGTAATGTCTGGCAGCAGAAGATGAGGGAAGATCAAGAAAGCAAGAGCGGGAATAGAATGCAATTTGTATGAAAATGTAAGAACAATGAAGTCTGAAGCATTTTGAGACAATTGGTGGACATTTTGCAAATTAACGATTTAATATATGATTCTCAGATTTTATTGAGATGCTCTGTAATTTTGTGTCAGATACATTCTATTGTCCCCACCCGTGTTCTGTTCACTACATACCTATTTCAGAAGGTTCACTTTTATGTTTATTGTAAGAAGCTTCTCAAAGATTTCACGTATTTCATTGGAATATCTTAAAGAAATAATCAAAAGCCTGAATCCTGATTGAAAATGCCAAAAAACTAAAGTTGAATTAATCGGTAAATATTATTCAACTGAACTACCCGCTATTCACTCTAGATTACGACGACTGATCAAGAACTAACAAAATACTTGAATAGAAAAAGCAGGACTTTGTACAAAAAATTGAGGACAAAAGATCATTAAGCGAATAGACTGATCATTCACACCGACTTCCATTTCATTATTCGGAACGACTGGAATATTTGGTTTTATGATATGCTCACCTTTGATTATTTATGCAAGATTTTTCCATGTTGTTTACAATTTGCGAATAGGTTTACAACCATATAGGGAAACCTGCTGTGGACTCTGTGAAAGATGGTTACAATTGCAGTTTGTTTGCATATGGCATGACAGGAACTGGAAAAACCCATACAATATTTGGATCTGAGGTATGATTTTCCCTTATTGGAGAACTACTGATGACTTTAAAATCATAGTTGAAGAGTAAAATATTTACAATATAAGACTTTCTATAATATTTATACAAATGAAAAATAAACTGGGTTCGTAACTTTTATTACAAAATTCATATTTGCAGGAATTTCAGAGATATTGGTGCTTAGGCATGTTCGTCACTGAAAGAATTAGATATCTAACTGTACAAGAATTGTATTTTATTTGATATCACTGACTAAGTAAACCTTTTAAAATTAGTTGATAATGTTAAAAATGAAATTTGTCTAGTCATTTTATTCATTGATCATATGTTTTCTTTACGAGCTGAAAATGCTGAAATTAAACTTTTCCATTATTTCTTGTTAGTTATATAGTAGTAGGGTAAATACTTTGTGATTTTTTAGTTCCTTTCAGGTTCATACATTCCTTCATCGCTGGTAAGTAAAGATCAGTTGTTCGGGTTGTATGGACAGACTTCTGTTGCAACTAACAGTTAATGAGAGTGATCATGCTTCGTCTGTTCATTCTTGTTAACATAAATTTAGCCATAAATTTCTCTCATTCTTCTGGTGATATACGAAACTTTAAGAAAATCAAAAGATAGTTTATGATAGTATAAACTTCACAAAATGACAATTCAGCTTTTAATTTTGAAAAAAGAAATATATGGACATTAACACATGAACTATTGTATTATAAAATACATAATATACGCGCCATGGTAATTAAATTAGGAGAATGAATTCATTATTTCTCGTGAAACTTATATTCTGGACATTGAACAAAGCTTTATTCATTATAGTTAAAAAAATACTAAAATGTAACCTCTGTTGGCTATTAAAATTCAGGTAATAAATGCTTTGGTTTAATCCAGCTGAGTAAAACGTTTATACCTTAGGAAGTCAAAAAGTACTGTAGTAAATTTTCAAAATGTCATTTAATTTTAAGATAGAAATGAATCGTTTTGGTTGATAGGTTGATTGCACGTTCACTTTTTACTGTAATTAGATATTTATATATTACTTGATTTGTCAATTGTAAAATATTAGAAATTAAAATATGATTGAAATGTGTATTAAATATTCCACTGCATAAGAAATATTTATATCATCTTTTAAAGCCTTTCTAATACACTTGACAGTTTACAAAATCTAAGGTATTGTTTCTGCAGCTTTCTAAATTAGTTTATCTGTTAAAACAGAATCGAAGCTGGTAGATTTGAAAATTTCAAATTGAGCTTTATACATATTGCATTGTACAATTGACTTATTACACCTGGTTATCTCAGCTTGACAAAATGAACTCGAGGAGTGATTGGATTCAGAAATCTTATAAGTAAATGCAGTAAAAACTGTTAGATTTTGCGCAATTAGGCTGAAGTAGAGTGGTAGCAGAAGTTACTGTTAATTCCACCTCAGATAATTGTTCGCCAAATGTATATACGGAACTTCGTGGATCCTAATGGATTTATTTTCATTGACTATGCTATAATTTGAGAAGTTTTTCAAGTTTGAATGACCCATCATATGACAAATCAGTTAACTGAAGGATGTACCATCTTCATAATGAATGAAGTAGTCTGTATTACCGCATCCTGAAAAATGGTAGACGGTAAATATCCGGATAGTATACTTGTGTCCTAGACTACCATCATTCTGGTTTTTATGGGTTTCCTGCTTTCATAAATTTTACATTATCATTATTACCATTTTTATTCATAAGTTTTGTTTATTGAAGTTTGGGTCAAATTGAAGTCCATGAGACATTTATTGGTTAGGACGGTATTAAAAAGTTGGCGGCCAGACCAAAACATGGCACAAGTCCATGGAGTCACTGACAAGTGGGCTGAGTCATGTTGGTAGGTGTAGACTGCCTGGTTGTGGACCGCGAGATGATAGCAACCGATGGTTAGAGACTCTGAGTGACATGGCTCAAAATCGTTGGCAATGGCGCAGGTGCATCTACTCTTTGTGTTCTCCCAAATTCTAATCTCCTGATTCCTCCTTGTCTCTTTTTTTCTCTTTTCAAATTTACTTCACTGTATCATACTCTTTAAATAACATCTTCAAACCTTAATCTTCCCGATTACTGCTTATACTCTTACTCTTACCTCTACCACTGTGGGATTTGAATCGACCACTGCATCTCTGTGCTAATGTGGTGTGGCAACTCGAACTGATGTGCGTACGTACGAAGTTCTACGTTGTTAATGACTGACTGCTTTCTAGCACTAACTACTTGTCCAATGGTAGTAAACTGTTAGATTGCCGAAACGTGACAGTAAAACTGGCTTGTTACCGATTGTTGCAAAGGTATTTTGTCTAGTATTAATTGTTACGGTTAGCAATCAGGGTGTCGAAATGATAAGTTTTACAGTTAAATAAAAGGTTCTGATTTCTCGAAAAATTTTCCGTTAAAATTGTAGTCATCTTAAGCAGGTGACCATCAGTAAAAATCTATCAGTTTAATCAAGTGCTACACAAACTGATGAATTTTTACCAAAATTTCTTCAATCCAAATTGATTGAATGGAAATGACTGACTTATTCGTAAAATAATGGACAAACTTTAATGGATTACTTACCTACCATTCTGTTGGTATGACATTTCATTTACCACTCTGACTAAAGCAAGGTTTCCTGTCACATCAGTCAATTACAATTCTCCTATTTGTAATAATTGACCAGAATTCTAATTTAACGCAGTAGGTTTATATTGTAAAAGTAATTACAGCATTGCGTGTTCATCCTTAAGATACTAATGTACACTGGACAACTTTTAAATGTTACATATGATTAGAAACTAATAAACCATTAAAGAAGCAGTGATAAGGAGATTTTTGCTGAAACTTCAGACCCATTAGTTATTCAGGGATTATTGAATTCAACCAAAGGTATTTTAAATGTTATACCACTTCAAAACAAAGTGAATATGTCGAAAAATCAACGGAAATGTGTTTTTTTAGTTAATTCAGATCAGGTGCTATACTGAGACACTCAAATCAGTGATTTGAAGAATAGTTAAAATATATTTGATTAGGTTTAATAATATCGGCTTTCTACAATATAGACAGTTATGGGCTTAGTAGTGAGAACACATATCCGATACAAGATAAGTTGACATCTAATGTCATATAAAAAGTGAAAAACACTCGTCAACTATTAATATTTTTTTACTGATTTCATTAAGCTAAAATTTATTATGAATTATATGTCAACTACTAGTATTTTTTAAATAATTCTTGACAAGCGTATCGGTTATTTGGTTGACTTCAGCACATTTAACAACTATAATTTGTAGCTCAGGAAATTGAAATCTACACGACAGTTACTAGTGATAGAGCATTGAATGATAAATTACTCAGCATCTTCAATTTTGCCCCGGAAATCAACATTACTAACAAAAAACGTTTGAAGTCCTTCAGTTCTAAAATAAAGTACTCAATAAAATGTAAAAGTTGATGTACGATGACATGGATTTTACTGGACTTTTATTATAATAGATCATCAACTACCATTTAGCCTGTCCTGTTTTTTAAATAGGAAGTTAGAAAACTCCCGAAAATTCTCAAAAAGTAGCGTAACTGATAACCTATTATTTGTGACTGAATATAAGTAAAATATCCACTTATTCTTTTCTGATGGTTGATATATTCTTCTATACGTTATTTAAAGTTCTTTACACAAGAAACCCCAGTAAATAAACATATAAGCTCTGGGGAAACCTGAAGTCTTTTAAAAAAACATTTCAGAATAAGTTATGGCCCAAAGGTCTTATTGTAAGAAATTCGTACACAGGATCGAAATCCCTGAGTTCGACCCACAATGGATTTATGGGTGGGCACTTCCGAGGAGTCTTGTACTAAAACACAACAGCTGTCGAGTTTTTGGTTTCCATTGGATATTTAACTTAAGTTAGTGCATAATATCAATAGTCTTTTAAAGTGTTGTTCTTTTAGCAGCAACAGTAGTTGAGAAGAATATCTCATATATAACAATTTTTAGCTCTCAGTAAAAGCACTGTTTGTTGAAATTTTAAGCCTAAATAAACTACTTTTGGTGTTTTTTTAATGAATAATAAGAAAGCAAAACTTTGTATATACACTGATTTTAATATAAAACGTATATATATATATATATATATATATATATATATTGAGGCAGTTAATGACCCGAAGTTATTTTGACATTTTACCACGATGATTGATGCTTAGAGTATTTGGAGTTTGTTTTTAAGGAATCCAACTGAAACCTTAATTTATTATCAAACTAAAGTACCAAAATATATCCAGCTTAATTCGTATATAAATAAAATGTCACCTGTCTCTTATCGGCCGCTTAGTTTAGTGCACTGTTACTTTGTATTAGACTAGACTTCCAGTGACAAAAATATCCGATATTACATTGATTGTCGTGTTCAGTAAAAATGAACGTGGTTATATAAACCTTCTCACTCAGACCTCTGTCGAACAAGAAGATTTTTAAACTTCATTTTCGCTCCACATTGCAGAATTAGCCAAAAATGGCCATGCTTGATGATGTAACGTTTATTTGAAATGTTTGACTCAAGATGGAACAAGAATACAAAACGCTTTAAATCATCGTTTTAATTTATTAAATTCTATCTTTCCGAATCATTGACGTAGTAGTAACAACGAATTCGCATAACTGATAGCGTGATTTTGCCGAAATTTGAAGTTTCCGTGTTTCATTCTGTGTTGTTGTGAGAATAGGTATTTTTAAGAAATATAAATCTAGAATGCAACGATTATCGACATCTTCATGGTCTTTTTAGTCTTTTAACTTAAGAAACATGTAATTTAAGTAACCAACTTTTGAAGCATAGTATTTTTATTTCCGCAAGCCTAACTAAATCGCTCCGGAATTTTATAAACTGAAACATATAACATATAACTATACGTTCCCTCATTTTTATATTATCTTTGAAGCGTAAATGAAAGATATTTAGAATGATTTATCATTTAATTTAACCAAATTACCCGGAAAATCAATGACAGGTAATTATTTTCCTCTATTCTTTTATCAATTTCAGGATGATCCAGGATTAATACCAAGAATATGTGAAGTAAGTTTACAACATACAATACGTTTGACACCCATTACATCTACTCTATTTTCGAAAGACATTTGTATATATGTCATATATTTCTGTAGCTCTCTGATTGTCTTATTCAAATTGTTTTAGAAATGCTTCACAATAATTAGTCGGGAACGCTGAATAGTTTATATTTTAAAAAGTGTACTCGTGACTTCAGTTCCATTTCATTAGTTACATTAAAAAAAGCTGAACTAGGAAATTAGAAATGGAGGGAATAAATTACTAAATGTAATACAGAATGTTATTTTAATAGACATCATACTTTTTGTTCAAGATGAATACATTTTCTAACTGTAAACTAATTGATTGGAAGCTAGTGTTTGTAGAATGCAAATATATTTAGGTCTGAAATAGTTATTTGTATATGAGTTCGTGAACTCTCAACTGTTGACAAATTATATTTCTATGACATAACTATAGTTTGAAGATTTAATAAATTGTTTCCATGATTATCATGATTAACCAAATGAATTATGTTATCTTGCTTTATTTTTCAAAACAACATGAAAGGCTTTGCTGAATCATATAAAAGTGAATCAAAATGTACATAGAAAATACGAATTAAAAATAAGGTAAGAATTATATAATAAATTTGATTATTTACTGAACAACTTACATACCTACGTTTTCTGTGTATATATTAGTGTCTTGACTAAAAAATTCAGTAAAACTTTATTTATGATTTCATAAAGAAGGCAGTAAATAAGTGTATAGCAATAATTAATGAAGACTAGAATTGTTGTAATTTATTAAAAATGCTATGGTAGCAGTTAGTAGACAAAACAATGTTGAATAAGTTTTACATTTGACTGTGAAAATATCGTTTTCAGTGGTTTATTCGGACTTACAAGCAAGAAGTTAGGTTATTTAACACAGTTTGATGGAATTTATAGTGTAGCTTAGTTACATCAAAATTTTATATTAAAATAATGTCAGTAATGAGTAACGTGACAAAAGATATCATATAGTAGAACATTTTGAATACATTCCATGGTCAAATATGTAGAAGTGACTACACAATATCAAGTACTTCGAGGGTATTTATAATTAACTAGATGCATGAAAGTTCTTCCTTTGAAATTTTTGGTCCTGGTCATTTTTTAAATATATTTAAAGCACTAAAGATGTATTACGTATGCAGTAGAATTAAATGTTGTTATGATTTCCTTTGATCGATTGTACAATCATACTTAACCTGCAGATTTGATTCACCATATGAAATATCACATATCTAGAATACGTGTTCAGCTCTTTTATTGTATAAATCTACTAGATCAAAGTTATTTCCGTATTAGACATAGGTAAAAACAAACATTTTCAAGCTTAAAAACTGAATTAAATGAAAACAAAATAACAGAAAATAAAAATTGTGAATACAGCTGTGTTTTAATGCCACTAGAACATTTCTTTCAGTTTTTAATCCCACAGCACCGCAATAAACATGGAAACGGGTTGATTTCCGTTTTACTTGTATAGAAAGTGTGACAAAATAAAGCTTACCTAGTAATGAATTGTTTCTCTAAAAAATGTCATGATTATATTGGTTTCTCTTGGTGTTGGATGACTAAACGTTCTCTCATTATGTATGATTAGAATTAAACTACGGTATGTTACTGCCGAAAATGTGAGAGATTTGAGAATATTCTAAAAAGTAACTTCAAATATATTCTTGACTCCTCGAACAAACAAAATGGGGTTAGATCACAGTGATGGAAGGTGTTCACTAGGCAGGGAAATATTTCAATAAACTTGACTGCTTTTGCGTGTAATGAATTTATGCACTCTTGTGAACACAATTTCTATGTCTAAATCAAGCTTATGATTGACTACCAAGCACAGATCGGTATGAATTTTCAAACAATGGTAATTTAAATGGGTGGTGAATTATTTAGATTGGAAGATCAGGATTACAACATCTTATCTACTGGCTTGTAAATAAGGTTTTAGCTGAAAAACACTGAATTAATGTAAGACACTAAGAAAATTGCTCAGGTGCAAATTAGAACATTATTTAATTGTATTTCCATTTTTTAATTCAATTGATTCACGTATATTGTTTATGGTAGAAAAGATGATGTACCAATTTTCGATTTTCTTTTGTTAAGTCGATAAATATACCCTGACTTTTTTCTTGAATAAATAATAAAACTTTAGACTGACCTGAAAATAAGAAAGGGATGTTCTTTTCTGATCAAAATGAACTTTTTTTTAAGTCCAAGTTAATTTGGTGACTTGCTAGTACTCTTGAAATTTCACTTAGTTAATAAATAAATATTTTTAGTTTATAATTCAAAGTTGAGTTTAAGATAACTAAGTTTACGAATAGTCGCGCATTATTACTAAAACTCTGGATAGATATTGAAATGCACCATTATACCACCCGAATCGTGAGGCGCAAAATGTTAGGTAAAGTAAAACCAGGCTAAACAAAGGCATTTATTTTTAATTATTTTTTCCTGTAAGCCACTAATATGCTTTTAACTAGTTTACGATTTACGAATCTTATGATTGAACCCTGATTTACTACTAGACAAATTTATGTGAACTGGTTAAGGTTCTCCTGTTATGTAGCTTATTGTTATTTGTATTATTTTTGTGACTTCTGATTCAGCAAATCTCTGAATTGGGATCAAATTTAATATGGTCTTTCTTAACATTAACTTTAGTTTCTCAAAGTCACGCAATAAAAACGATGAGTTGGACTGTACACAGTCAGAACAGGTCATATTGAACTGTTTAATAACCTGCTAATAATATATATTTAACGTGGACTTAAAGCATAAACTGATATTTGTTTTTTCTATTGTATCGACAAATATTTGAGCGACAAAAATTCAGGTTACTGTCAAGTTGTTTTCCAGAAATTGGTTAGTCGTAACCTTAGTCACAATTTTATGTTAGGCAGTGGTAGTCACTTGTTGCTTAAATTTCCGTTTTACTTAAGTAATTAATGAAGTAACCTGTATCTTTCACTCAAACATATCTTAAAACAGTTTATGAATATTTGCGATTTTTCAACTAATCATAATGAATGACATTTATTTACTCTGTGGTCAGTGTCTATATGATATGGTCGAAAATAGTCTGAGCCTAATAGTTCTCACAAAACTGAACAAGAAACTTTATTACTAATGGTTAAACTAATATAAAAGGACAAATGTTATGTAAATGAAATATTATTTCAATGTATACCGCTCATAAATGCTGTTTATTCATCCTATTCAAAATAGCACATATCCAATTAAGCTTTATAAGTGTTTTACATTTTTTAAACTGTTCTGTATGCTGCGATTAAGCATTCTATGTCTACTTGTTAAGCCTATTTACTCACATATTTTTTCGCAGTAAACCAATATTCTTTCCAAGAACTTACTCTTGGTAATTTCATCAAAAATAATAGATCTTCTTTGTCATTGTTCGTTGCTTTTAGAAAGTATCTTGAAAGTTTTGTTAGAGTCCTAGCTGAAACAAATTATAGAATGAGACTATACTAAATACGAGTACTGATAGACGGTATTTTTGAAAAGTTTCTGCAAGACTTTTCAATGAATCGCACTTAAAGAAAAATACGATGATCAGTGACCTTCAGCAGTTGAAAGGTTTTCATCATTTGGTACGAGGATTATCTTATCAACTCTTAAGTGAATATAACTGGTAGATATCAGATTTATAAAATCAAAACTATAAGTTTAGGAATAAATAGTTGAAGGTGGGGTACAATTTAGGAACTATACATTTTCAGACTTATAAACAAGGTGACGTAAGTGGCCAATTTACGCATGAATAATTTTTTTCTCAAATCTGACTAATTATGTTACCAAAGTTTAATATCGGTTTATTCATTTAGCTGTCACCAATAGAACTATTATTCTTTGAACGATCAAATATTGTGAAAAAAACTCTCTTTTGGTTTAGGTTTCTTGTTATCAGTTGAACATCAGACAGAATTTGTTTTTAAAGTTTTGATTGGATTATACTTTGATGTAAATACGACATACATTTACAAGTAATCTAGTAACAAAAGAACAAGTTACATATATATATCGTCATAAATAAATCATTTTTTTCATATGGGAGACGATTATTCAAGGGGAAATTAGTTTGATATAAGGGTAAATCTGAAGATTTCTGTGCCTCAAATATTCTGAATCAGTTACGAGACCAAAATTCAGACCAGGTCTCAGACATGCATTCAGCGTTACATTAAGCGACCATGAAATCTAGATGTCAAATGAAGTTTCACTGTATTAACTTCTTGAACAGATTTTATCTCAATTCAAAGGTTTGTAAACTGAACACTATCGAGACGATTAGGATTTAAGAAACCATCCCTAATGTTCGAATGAGTGGAAATATAAGGCTTATAATATTTCTGCGTAAAGAAGAACACAGCAATGCAGAATATTACACACTATAAACATACTGCTAACTGTTCCTAATAAATGTTTAAAACAAGCACAATGAAAACAAATGAATGAAGATTTTACTCAGATTTCATGCGATTTGAAGAGAACAAGTGCAGTCGGTTGATAGTTTTTGTTACCGAAAGCTATCAAAACTGTTGATAAAAGCTGGGAAGTGATGTCTGTTACCTTATTATCTACATTTCATCACGAAAGTATGTTTTACTGATTCTGTTGCGCTATTACAATCTTGTTAATCCTTCTCTATCTGTTAACGATTATGCTAAAAATGTAATTAACGAATAATTGAAACTATGTTTAGTCATATTATGTTGATCATATAATCTCCCATTATTGTCTATTTTGTTGTATACGGTTTGTCAGAGAAGAATGTTTCATTTCTGAAATTCGATTTCTCATTTTATTTATTTCGAGTATTTACCTCTATACAGAGTCATTTATGCATTTGGACTGTGTGATTTTCTTATAATAGCTTAGATTTTGCGGATAGACAATAGGAAATTCATCATTGGATAGAACGTTTTCCGTTGCTAAGATAAACCCAAGTATGTTGTTGTTTTCATAGAAATTATCGTTTTTTGTTACCTTCGCTATGTAACATGTTGCAAGATCAAAAATGCAAATTTATTCATTGAGGAAAACATGTTATCGAACAATTGATTTGTGAAAACATTTAACACTTGATATAGCTCTTCAATGTAAAAATTGTTATCTTAAAATAACTAACCGAGTAATTTATGATTTGGGTCAAATAACCGTGACGTAAATGATAACAATTGTGAAGACCAATCTCAATGTAGATGAGCAACAAAATATTCATTTTTGTCTATAATGTCTTATATTTATTTGTACTCGTTTTCGTTTGTCTAAACAGTTCAGTAGTAAAATATTCGAAAATGGACTTTATCGTCAGTCACTCGTATTTTTCAAATTTTAAGTAAAATGTGTTCGTTGTATGACTTTTTCTGTCCTGTAATTTCTCTTCCATCATGACTGATTGCACTTCACTAAACACGCCCGTACCATAATAAAGGAGAATTTCTGCCGAAGAAAACTAAATTTTTCATGTGACAGTCAAAACGACAAAAAACGAAACGTCCTCCATCTTGTATAACGATAGTGTAAATAATAGTTTCTACATCATTTTG